GCAAAAAGGACAGATTTAGTGTAAATGTGCAAAAAAATAAATAGTAAGGTAAATGTACTAATATATTGTTAAGGTCATGATAGTAGTGGGTGCTGAAGCAGATGAATGGGACCAGCAGGACAGATTCCCTGTAGCACAAACCACGCCTGCCAGACTCCACAGCACCACTGAGCATTAAACTGAGCCATCATCTGCTCCACTGAGTCTATCTTTTCATTCATTCTCAACTCAGTTATCCTACATCCTGAAGGAGACAGACGAGAGCAACAGCAGAGCAGGGCACAGAGTATATTTGAAGTGAAAAAGCTGGCCCAGGGCTACAGAAGGACAATCGTAAAATTGCGAGGAAGGGGGCGAGGAAAAGAGGAAGGGGATACAACGAGAGAGAAAAAGACCAGAAACAAGTGCAGACAAGCCTCAGTGCTCACTGAGAACTGATGGAATGTGACTAATGATAATAAGCCAGAGAAAGAATGAGGGGGGGAGAGGGGAGTGAAGCTAAAGGAGGATGAGGTGACCATTAATTACAGCAACCATCCATAATGAGCCATTCATTCACAGAACAAGGGGGAGGGAAATAAAGCAAGTTTCTAATTAGTGACATGATTTAGAGAATAAACACACAAGCAGGAGCACAAACACATGCCGATAATGAGAACTTCTTCCTACTACGCTTTAAACAAAAAAACACTCACTGCAAAAATCTCTACATCAACAAACAGCAAAGGATGCTTTAAAGTGAACTCATTTACATCGTGACCACATAAAGGCCCCTTTGATCTTAAGTGGGCGGGACTGAGTAAAGTTTGATTACACATTTACGCTGCATCTCACATATACAACAACTTTTGGGTTAATCCATAGAAAATGTCTCTTGTGAGACCCGTTAGCTGCTGTAAACCATCTCTCAATTAAATCATTTCATTTACTTGTTGAAGTGTGAAACGCCACAGCAGTTTTTCATTCTGTTTTCTTTTTAAAAAATAATTGTTAAACTGCATTTTTACACATTTTAAAGTCCCAATTTATGCCATTTTCTAAAAGCAGCCCGCTGGGCCAGATTGGAGTGTTTGCCGTGCCGATCCTGGCCCCTAGCCTTATGTTTGACACCCCTGGTTTGAAGTCTGTGAGAGCTGACACACATTGGCTGTCCAACATCCTCCTCTTCTTTGTTTCACTAGGTCACCAGTGTTACTGCTTTGCTACACGAGTGGTATAAACAACATTAATACACTGTTGCCTCACAGCTAATCCACCATCCGGGGAGTTTGCATGTTCTCCGTGCATCTGTGTGGGATCTCTATGGGGTGTTTTTGCATGCCTGCTCAGAATTTTAGTGTCGCCTCTGGATCACGGGGTACATATCCATCCAAATTCAATGTTTATGTTAAAAACCTTGGCGAAAAGGGCAACACAACCATAAGATTCTCCAAGGAACAATGAACATGACAGATATGCCTCAAACAGCAAGAAGTTATTGCCCTTAAGTCAGTGAGAGTCAGGGATGATTTCCAATTCAATTGCAGTCTCAATTTGGGATAAGTCATGCAGACAGAGGTAAGACGAACAAAGAGCTTAGGAATAAAAGTGACAAATGAAGAGAATGGAACAGAAGAGC